CTCATTATTGGTCTGTTCAGCTTTCCTATTACATTATGATTCAGTCTCAGTAAGTTGTATGTTTCTAGGAATTTATCCATATCTTCTAAGTTATCTATTTGTTGGCATATAACTATTCATAATAGTCTGTTATGATCCTTTGTATTTCTGTGGTATCCACTGTAACGTCTCCTCTTTCATTTATAATTTCATTAACTTGAGTCATCTCTCTTTTTCTTTAGTCTAGATAAAAGTTCATCAATTGTTTATCTTTTAATAAAACCAATTCTCAGTTTTGTTGATCATTTCTATTGTCTTTCTAGTCTTTGTTTCAATTATTTATGTTCTAATCTTTATTTCCTTTCTTCTGCTAACTTTGGACTTAGTTTGTTATTCTTTTTCTAGTTCCTTGAGGTGTAGGGTTAGTTTGTTTATTTGAAATCTTAATTTTTTCTTAATGTAGGCCTTTATCCCTATAAATTTTCCTCTTAGAGCTGCTTTTGTTGCATCCCATAAGTTTTGGTATGCTGTGTCTCCATTTTCACTTGTCTTAAGATACTTTTTGATATCTCTTTTGACTTCTTCTTTGACTCATTGGTTGTTCACAAGTGTGTTGTTTAATTTCCACATAATTGTGAATTTTCCAGCTTTCCTCCTATTATTGATTTCTAGTTTCACACCATTATGGTCAGAGAAGATACCTGATGTGATTTCAATCTTATTAAATTTGTTAAGACTTATTTTGTGACCTAACATATGATCTATCTTGGAGCACGTTCTGTGTGCACTTGACAAGAATGTGGATTCTATTTTTGTTGGCCAGAATGTTCTGTATATGTCTGTTAGGTCCATTAGTCTGAAGTGTAGTTCAAGTCTGTTATTCACTCACTGATTTTCTGTCTGTATCATCTACCCATTGTTGAAAGTGGGGTACTATTATTGCATTGCTGTCTATTTCTGCCTTCAGATCTGTTAATTATTTGATATATTTAGGTGCTTCAATATTGGGTGCACATACATTTACAATTGTTACATCCTCTTGATCAATTGACCACTTTATCATTATATAATGATCTTCTTTGTCTCTTACTACAGCTTTTGACTTAATATCTATTTTGTCTGATATAAGTATAGCTACTCTTGCTCTCTTTTGGTTTCCATTTGCATGGAATAACTTTTTTAATCCCTTCACTTTCAGCGTGACTGTCCTTAAAGCTTAAGTGAGTCTCTTTTAGGCAGCATAAGTTGGGTTATTTTTTTTTTCACTCAGCCACTCTACGTCTTTTAAATGGAGAATTTAAACCATTTACATTTAGAGTAATTATTGATAGGTAAGGACTTACTGACAGTAAGGACTATCGCCATTTTGTTAATTGCTTTCTGATTGTTTTGTAGTTCCTTTGTTCCTTCTTCCTCTCTTGCTGTCTTTCTTGTGAATTGGTATTTTTTTGTAGTGGTATGCCTTGAATATTTTCTCTTTATCATTTGTATATCTCTTACAGATTTTTGCTTTGTGATTAACATAAGCTTTCATAACACATAGTTATAACAGTATATTTTAAGCTGATAACAAATTAACTTTGACTGCATAAAAAACTTCTACACATTTACGTCCCCACCCAATTTTATGTTTTTGATGTTCCAACTTACGACTTTTTATATTTTTATACTTCCTCACTTTCTATAACTCTTGAATCTATTCCAACTTAGCTTGCTTCTCACTAATCCACTAAAATTATTCTTGCTAAAGTTATCAGTTTCCTTCTTGATTCTAAATGCAATTGACTTTTAAAAAATCAACAAACTTTATTTTTTAGAGCAGTTTGAGGTTCACAGCAAAACTGAGCAGAATGTATAGGGCTCCCATACACCCCTTATCCCCAGGCATGTGGGACCTCCTCTACTATCAACATACTGCACCACAGTGGTACATTTGTTAGGACAGATTAATCTATGCTGATAGTTATTTTTCTTCTCCCTGAAGAACTTCTATTACTATTTATCACAAGGCAGGCCTACTGGCAACAAATTCCTTCAATTTTTGTTTGTATGAGAAAGTCTTTATTTCTCCTTCACTTTTGAAGGATAATTTCACAGGGTACAGAACTCTAGGCTGGTGGGGTTTTTTTCTCTCAACCTTTAAATATTTCACTTCATTCTTTTCTTGCTTGGATGGTTTCTGAGGAGAGGTCTGTAATTTTTATCTTTGCTCTTCTATAGGTAAGTTTTTTTCCCTTCTGGCTTCTTTCAAGTTTATTTTTCTTTCAGTTTTATTTTCTGGTATTTGGATATGATATGCGTAGGTATAGTTTTTGGGGGTATTTATCCTGCTTGGTGTTCTCTAAGCTTCCCAGATCTGTGGTTTGGTGTCTAAAAGTAATTCTGGGAAATTCTCAGTCATTATTGCTTCAAATATTGCTTCTGTTCCTTTCTCTGTTTCTTCTCTTTCTGGAATTCCAATTATGTATACGTCACATCTTTTGTAGTTGACCCACAGTTCTTTTTTCTCTTCACTTTTTGGTTTTAGAGTTTCTATTGTCATATCCTCAAACTCAGATATTGTTTCCTCAGCTGTGTCCAGTCTATTAATGAGTCCATCAAAGGTATTCTTCATTCCTGTTATAGTGTTTTTGATCTCTAGTATTTCTTTTTTAATTCTTAGAATTTCCACCTCTCTGCTTATATTATCCACATGTTCTTGAATGTTGTACTTTTTCCTATAATTCCCTTAGCATATTAATCATATTTACTTTAAATTTCTGGTCTAATAATACTAACACTACTGCCATATCTGACACTGGTTCTGATGCTCATTCAGTATCTTCAAACTGTTTTTTGCCTCTTAGTATACCTTGTAATTTTTTCCTAAAAGGTAGACATAATATACTGGGTAATAGCAACTGCAGTAAATAGGCCTTTAGTAACGTAGTGGTAAGGTGTCGGGGGAGGAGAAGCATTCTGTAGTTCTATGATTAGGTCTCAGTCTTTTGTTGAGCCTGTGCCCCCGCACTGTGAACTTCACCAGTGCTTCTCAGTTTTTTTCCTCCCCTTAGGTGGGACAGGATGGGTAGAGGGGGCTGTAGTTGGGTATTTCCATCTCCCCATGTGGAAGGCTAGAGGGAGCTGGCATTGAGTATTTTCCTTCCCCCACTTGGAAGGGTAGAACTGGCTGGAGTTGAGTATTTCCCTTCCACCAGGTAGGTTGCTGATAAAACCCCAGCAAGTCAGGCTCTGGTAAAATACTTTTTCCTGAGGGCAGGCTTTGTTAAGAAGAACAGAATACTCCGGTGTATTTCAAAATGGTTCCTTTTCCCTTCCCACTACCGGAAGCATGAGGGGATTTTTCTCTGAAATTCCCTCTGAGGATCTGGTAGAGCTCCTGGAGGTAAGACTCACAAAAGTGTGGAGGCCCCCTAATGACTGGTCCCCTTGAGTTTTTAACTCTCAGAGTTGTCCACACTGAGCCACCAGCAACTCAATCACACTTCTAGTTTTCCCACCACAGGCCTGGTTCTCAGGGAGATTTCTGTTCACGTGTTTCTGCTCAAGTAATTGAGCAGTAATTTCTGCTCATGATTCTCTGTATCCACCTGTCTGTCTTTCCAAGTTTTGGTGCAGCAGTTTGCGTTGTGCTCTTACTTCTCTGACAGATCTAAAAAGAACTGTTGCTATTTCAGTTTGTTCAGGTTTTACTTGTTGTTATGATAGAGTGGTGATTTCTAAGTTCCGCACATGCTGAACCAGAAGCCAGAAGTCATCCAATTTTTCAAAATTCTTTATAACACTGGACCTCTAAGTAGCATTCAGCATTGTTGACCACTTCCCCTGTTAGGAGTAACACTCTTTTCTCTTGGCTTCTATGATACCATATTCTGTTTATTTTCCTCCTTCTCTCTGTCCACTCTTCCTTTTCTACCTGACTATAGAGTTTTCCAAGGATTGATCCTGGACCCTCTGCTCTTTCTCACTCTATTGATACTCTTACCCAGGTGATTTCATCTTTTTCCATGAATTTAAATATAGCTATAATACTGTACACTCCTCCTCTATTTTCCTGACCTGCAGATTTATAGCCAACAGCCCTTCCAACATTTTCATATTAATGTGCCTTCAGACTTCCTTCCTGTCTTTCCTTTCACATTAAATAGCACCTTTAACCAAAGCTTCTTAAGATAGAAACCTAGAAGTCTTGACACCTCTCACTCCTTCATCCTCTATATCCAATCCGTGACCTGTACAGGCAAAATTATCTTGAATCCATTCATATTTCTCCACCTCTCTTACAAAACATCCTAGTCAAAGCCTCCACAATCTTGCACCAAAAATCTTTGCAACTTCATAATAATGAGTCTTCTTGTCAATACTCTTGCTCTCTTTCAATTTGCTCCCTAATGTGCACAATGACAGTATGGTGTAGCGGAAAGACTACAGCTTTAGATCCAGAAAGACCTGCCACAAGCTGCTCAAACATATTGGTTAACACCCAAACCTCTTTTCTCTCATCTATAAAATAGGTAAAAACAAAACAAACAAGAAAAAACTTACCTGATAGTAATGCTATAAAGAAAAGATATAATTAATGAAAAGTGCTTAGAATAATGCTTAGCACTGAGTAGCCACTCAAATAGTAGCTCCTGCTACATACCAAATAAAGTCCAAATGCCTTCTCAAAGACCTCCCGATTCTAGGCCTAATGTACTAATTCACAAGTATTCCTCAGCATAAAACACTGCTCTGGCTACATAGCAAATGTCTTATTTTTATCTTAAATTAATGATTAATAAACATTCAATTATCCAAAAAGAAGTTGGAAAAATTGTCAATTTTAATTATCTTTCATTAAACTTATATAGACTACATATTCATGAAACAATAATGTAACCTAATTGCTAAACTCCAAAAATGTTTTAAATTATTGACTTAAATAGATGAAAAATAATTCCTATAAAAGTGATGGTTAAAAGCATGTCCTATATTAATGAAATTTATGGTTTTTGTAGTTATTCTGCTTCAATACTTGCTTTTTTCTTTGTTTTTTCAGAGGTTGAAGGGGAAGTTTTCTCAGAAAATAAAACTCCACAAGCTGCATTATCTATAAATAAAAACATACTTTAGTATTTTAATTATTTAACCTGTCATTAACTATAGGTACAGAAAAGAGAACTGAAATTTGAAAAAAAAAGATTTTACTGACTATGTCTTTGTAATAGTTTTAAAAGAAAAACTTAATATATGTTGAATAATCTGACTTGCTACAGATAGAGTAAAGTATTCTTTAAAATATCTTTATCTCAAGAGCTCTAGGTTTCACAGGAGTAAATAAACTCTATACAAAAGATTTACTTTTCAATTAGTAGAAAAAGTTTTATATGATTAAAATTCTTCATTAATTATCCTTCCATTTCTACTTTCCTGTATTTTCAGGCTTTCCCTTTCTACTGCAACTTTTTTTAATCAGCATTTAGAACATACCCAGGCCTCTTTCATCTTACCAAAAACTTTATCTGTACCCCATCCCCCTTTCTGCTACATCCCCTCTCTCCTCTTATCCATAGGCAAGTTTCTTCAAAGAGCAGTCCACATATACTAACATAACTTCCTCTCTTCCTATTTACTCCCAAACCCACAGCAATCTAGTTTCAGCTCCCACCAATATGAGCAGAAGCTTTCCTGTTCTACCTTACTGGACATCTCAGTACAACAGGCCTGAACATCTTCCCGCTCTAGCCCCTATTATGGCTCCTCTTCATTCTTGACTCTTCTCTTTTCCTCAGTCTCCAGACTCAATCCAAAGCAACACATATTTACTGAGTGTCTGCGATGTGCTAATTTTACCTATTATATGTACTTAATATTACAGTTTGGTTTTCCTTTATTCTTAACACCAGTACCTTGATTTAAGGCACCAAAAGATTTTCCTTTACATTATCCCAATAGCTTTTCAATTTATCTCCCTCTGCAGTCCACTGTTTACATTGTGTACCTAAAATACAAATCTAATATTATCTGCTTAAAACTCTTCAAAGGCTTTCCACTGCCCTCAAGTTAAAACTTAAGCTCCTTAACTTGGCATACAAAATCCTGGGTTTTATGATCCAGTATTACTTATATATTCCCAGCCTCATTGTGGAGGGTAATAGGTTGCTAAATAAAATCCAGGATGCCCACTTAAATTTGAACTTCAGATAAACAATGAATAATTTTTTAGTTTAAGTAGTTTCCATGTAATAGTACAAGCATGTGCAATATTTGCGACACAATTATATTAAAAAATTATTTGCTGCTTATCTGAATTCAAATTTAACTGGGTATTTTGTATCTTTATTTGCTAAATTTGGCAACCCTTGAGGCTAATCACTCCTCTCATCTTCATCTCCCAAGGTCAAGAGAAGTAGTAGGTTTGAGAGTTCTGTAAAAGACAAAACTGGCACCAAGATTTGGTAATAGATTAGATATAGGAAGTGTTATAAAGAGGAGGGTGTTGAGGATGCTCCCCATGTTTCTGGTTTGCTAAGCTACATTTGCTAACTGAAATGGAGGACACCGGAGAAGGACCAGATTAGGTCTTGGTCGTGACAATTCTCAGTCCTCAATTCTCGTTTTATTTAATCTCTTGGTAACTTTTGTTTTAGCTACTTCTAAATATTGGAATGTTCCATTTATATTCTTTTTATATGTCTCTTTTCTATTTATTTTCCCTTCCTAGGTGACCTCATCTAATCCTATGGCTTCAAAACATCTATACTCTGGCTCTAAATACTTATCTATAGCCCCAGTTTCTGCCCTGAACTCCAGACTCCTGTGTTACAAACTGCTTTCATGACATCTCCACTTGGAGGCTAATAAGCTTCTCAATGTTTTAATATTTTATTGAAGTATTCCATATATAAAGTAATGGGCACAAATCTTATATGCATATGTATTCACCCATATAATCACCACCCAGATCAAAATATAAAATATTTCCAACACCTCAGAAGTTTCCTATATGTTCTTTCCCAGTCAATTCCCTCTTTCCAAAAGACTACCGCTATTTTGACTTCTATCAGCCAGAATAGTCTTGCCTGTTCTTGAACTTCATATATATGGAATTACACTGTATAAACGTTCGTGTCTGTGTTCTTTCATGCAATAGTATGTACGTGAGCTGACAGATAAAATTTAATATGTCCAACCCAAATTCTCTTAATCATTCTCTCAACTTGCTCTGCCCTACAGTGCTCCTATCTTAAGAAATGATATCACCATTCATCTAGTTGCTCAAACCAATAATTTAAGACTCATCCTTGATTTCTATTTTTCTCTCTTACCCAACATCTAGCCTAATTAGAAAATCCTGGCACATCTGCCTTTAAAATATATTCCATATTAAACCACTGCTACCACCTTAGTCTCATACACCATTATCTAATCACTGCAATAGTTTAACAAGAGCTCCTTGCTTCCACTTAGTCCTTGCTTCCTCCTTAGTCCATCTCCACATAGCAGCCAAAATGATCATTCTAAAAAAAAATATATATATATCTGATCACATCATCCCTCTGCTCTAAGATGTGTTTCCCAGCACATTTAGAATAAAATCCCTACTCCTTACGACGGCATACAAGACTCTACAATATACTACTTGACTAGCTCTCTGACCACAATTTCAACCATTTATTTTTTCACTCTCTTTGCTCCCGTCACACTAACCTCTTTCCTCTTCTTCAAACATGCCAAGCACATTTCCATCTCGTGGCCTTTTCTCTTGTTGTTCCCTTTGCCTGGCATGCTCTGCCCCTAGATTTTCACATGGCCCACTCTCTCACTTTACTCAAGCTCTGCACAAATGTCAACTCCTCATAGAGGCCTATCCTCATTACCCTGTCTAAAATAGGATCCCTAGTCCCACTCTCTGTTTTTATTCTGCTTTATTTTTCTTCATTAGTCTTATTTATGATGTTCTTATATATTTATTTATCTGTTTATTATCTTTCTCTCTCCACTATAACATAAGCTTTTACAGGACACCTGTACATATCAGGGGGTAGATTGAAAAGAGGTTAAAATCCAGGAATTAGCCTCGAACAGCTCCCACATTTAATGGCTAATAGCAGTAGATAAGATTGCAAAGGAGATTGAGCAGGAGTTGCCTGAGAAGTAATTTCTTGTTTATTTGCTTGTTTCTATTACTGGACTATTGGATCCTTAAGGGCACGAAAACAGCCATTTCTTGGTTTTCTAACACTTAGTAAAGAGCCTGACACATAACTGTAACACAATTGGATTTGTTGAATTAAGGAATGTGTAAAAAGTACCTCTAGAGCAAGATGTGATCTATTCAATTTTAAATGTTATGTCAATCAACCACATAAAAGTAAGAATACAAAAGCATACATAATTCCAGAATTACTATTCTGCCTTACTACTAGGCTTTATAAATAACACTTTCCACAGCCAGAGCAAAACTTGTTATTGGGCAAGACCTAGGTAAAATCATGATTGTTTTTGGTACCCTAACCACTTTCCCTGTCATCACCTCTCTTCTGTTGTTCACAATTTCCCTTACTCTTTGATCTATAAAACAAATCCTCCTTCTAGTGCTCGCCCTCCACAGTAGTAGGTATTACTCCTTCTAAGGATGAGTGCTTTCACAGGTTTGGTTTTTATCACTAGATTAATTTCCCTTAGAATAGAAACTATCTTAATGATTTTTATAACCACAGTTCCTAACATAATTCCTGGCATTTAGTAAATGCTCATTAAGACAACTTCTTAAAGTAAAGATTACACAAAAAAACTTTTGTTTTTTTAGTTCATACAAACATTTATCAGGAGCAAAACTAGCAATTCTTCAAGTTTACCCCCAAATAGATGTTATAAAACTTGTTGCAGGAAATAAAGAGAACAGAAATCTGAGATACAGCAGAGGTTAATAAGGTTGTAAATGTCTTACTAAGTCTATTTTAATAATAAACTAAATAACAGAGTGTCTATAATGCAAGGCACTTTGATGATCCTTTTATTTTTCAATCATCACACATAACTCCAATATATCTGTTTACTGATTATTTTCCTCTGCTATGACTGAAACTGACAAGGGCAGGGAATATATATCACTCCCCACTGGTATATGTATATACCAATGCCTAGTACAGAGTACATACTCAGTAAATATTTATTCAATGAATTAAGGATGGGTGCTGTGGGGATGGTTAAGACTCACTTTCTAATCTCACCTATCTTCATTTCTTAAATACAACCAAGCTAAAAAGCACTCTGTTTCCTAGGCTATCAATTTTCTTAATATATACTGCATTGTGACAAAAATAAAGAAATACAGAATTATGAAAATGATTAGTTTCACTATTTATTACCTGATTCTGAATTTGAAGTACTCTTTGGTTTGGGAGAAATATTTTGGTCTGCTAACATCATCACCCTAAATTAAGAACAAATTAACGATGTTCTCTTAATCTTTCAGTAACTTTCAAGAATCCTCAAATAATACTTAAAATAAGGACATTTATATGCAATCAATTATGCTGTAGAAAAAATACAACTGGTTAGAAAAAAATGTTATCATATCTATATGAACAAATAGTTTAATAATAAAAGGCAACATATTTATACATTTATTGGTGTTAGACAATATGTGCAGAGGACAAGGCATAGTGTTTAGAATTAGATAGACCTGAGTTTAAAGCCCAGTACTGCTACTCACACTTGGGTGGCCTTCAGAAAATTACTTAACCTATTTTGAGTCTTGGTTACCCCATTTACACAAAAGGAATAGCAATTTTGTTTCCCAGGATTCTTGTGGTAAGGATCTCAAGTAACATGGCAGATAATGCTTTCTTAAAATTAATATCCTTTTCTTTTTTATACTTTCACAAATGAGACCACCTCCAAATCTATCTAAATGTGTAGGAGAAGATTAGCTATTACAAGAGAAATATAAAAAGATCAAAGCCCAGCCTGTGACCACCAAAATGGGATTTCTGAGTCCCTAGCAAGACAAGGGAGTTTAAAACCAAATGTGAGGAGATGATTTTCTAAATTCCTATTACTGGTTTATTGAAGCGTTAAACTCAGTAAGCAAAAAACAATTTTATTCTTTCATATTTCCCCTTTAAATTCATCCTGTCAAAAGAGTACTTTTTCTTGTCCCTGAATGAACTCTCAGGTGTATTTCATTGCTTTTGTGGCATTCTCTTGTAGTAAACAGTCATTTTTAGGTAATAAAAAGCCCAACACCAGACTCTTATTATCCAGTTTAAATTTCTTCCTTTTCCCAACTTAGGCCTGATTTAGACTCATAAGCTGCAGTGAGGAAATCAACCATGGCTGGTTTCTTCTCTATTTCTTGTTCTTTTTCCTCCTCCATTTGGTAACTACTCTTTGGGGTCCTCTGGCATTGGAGTAGGGGGAAGGGGTTGTAGAAAAGGACAAGAAAGGTCTTTCTTGATCTTGACTGATACTATGATAATACACCATTGGTGCCCTTTGGGTGTGACAGATAATCAAATGCTGACTCTTTCAAATCTGAAGTATTTTGAAGGGTTCAGTAATAGGATTTCCCTACCCCCGGGGTTCTCTCTCTTGCTGCTATTTATGATCTCCTCAGCTTTTGCCATTTGATGATAGAACTTCCAGTCTCTTTCAATTGAGTTCACTTTGTCCTTTGCAGAAAGTCTTACTGGGCATGATCCCTTTCAAGAAGATCCATAACTGGCTCCCTTCTGAGGGATCTATGTCTGACCTATGGGCATTATGCACAAATCTTTGTTGTGCCAAACTCTGAAAGTACATCTAGCTTCCTCTTTATTCTGCCATTCTAAAGCATCTAACAGACCCTCTGGCCTTTAGACTTTTCTGTGAGTCAGAAACCCAATTCCAGGGGACATATGTCAAACTTTCCAAATGGTTCTCTTGGAGCTTCCTCTCTTGTGTTGAGGTGAGGGAGAAGTCTCCCTCTCTCCTTGCATATATGACTCCAATAACTCTTACCAAAGAAATACACATTCTTGGTCATTTCACCCTTTCAGTGCATTCTTGGCCTTTTCTTAAATAGCTTGGAGATTGGTGATGGGCTAATCCTGGAAGAATCGGGTTTTTACCATACCTTTTACAAATTCTACATAGATGGTTCTACAGAGAGTAGGGATAAAGGTAATTGTCATTTTTATTTTGTTTTCATCTATTGAAGTCACTGTCCAAAATCTAAGACTACATGAAAGCCACATTTAACATCCTGCTACATTCCTTAAGTTCCTATTAACATGTGTAGATTAAGGCTTGGTGGACATAACCACAGAGTTTTACTATTAGCCATACAATATAGAAAGAACTCAAGATGCGACCAAAGACAGATCCCTCCTCCATACCTTCCAGCCTAGAGGATTACTGAAAGAGAAAGAGGACAGAGGCTTAGGAAACAAGAAGTTAGACAACGTGAACTGATTTCTTTCCCTCAAGCCCAAAATCTGGAGGTGGGGGTAACAGGTGGGAAGATGACATTAGAAGAGGGGAAGAGAAAGCCAAACGTAGAGGAAATGTGTGCCCAGCTTCGTTTAGAATTCTAGGAGGAGACATCCACACAGGGTGGAAACTCAACATAAAAGTAAGAGCTTGGGATATTCAGGCAGATGGGGCCTCAGTTAGCCGTCCTGAGATCCTTAATTCCTGTACATTGTGAACAAGTTCTCAAGGTTCCTCATACCAAAGGCAATGCAGAAGGTGGTCATATTTACAACCAAAATACCTGGCATAGGGCTGCTGTGGTGAGGTGACTCTACCACAAAGGTTGTAGAAAGCAACCAAGTCAAAGTCTGAACAGAAGACTTCAATGAGACTCAAGGGGTTTGGGGTAGCAACAAAAGCTAAGGTGAGGAAAAATCAGCAGCGGAGGACCTCAGTCCCTAAATAAGGTCATTATTTCACCAATGACTTTATCTGTGGAGTCCATCCCAGGTATAGAACCAGTCTTGAGACCTGCAGCACAAATTAGCAAAAATCCAGAGACAACTTGTGGATTCCAGACACCCTCAAGCCCCAACTTCACCCCCTCCCCACCTCTGGCCTGCCTGTATGCCTACACTCCTATGTTTAGGGTGACTATTTTTGTCCAAACTGGGACCTTTCTGACAGTAAAAGGGAGCTCTGTTAAAAATTATGTCAGAACAACAGGCACATAATGGGACTGTTCCAGGCAAATCAAGAGGTATGATCGCCTACCTATATGCCATGCTCAGAAATATGGAATGGGGAGAAAACCTGAAAGACTCAGTATTCACCCGAAAGAGACTTTTAACCCTAACTGGATGGCATTAATAAGTAAGTTTAACTCATAATTTCTCAGCTAAATAGAGGAGAAAGACGATGAGAGCCCATGAGAAGTTTAGATCAGTTATTTTAAAAAATAAATAGAGATATATTTTCTTTGCACATCCAAGTGGTAGGTTTTATTTTTCAAAGATAGGGCAGCATTTAAGGGAGACAGGAAATAGGATCAGACACACATAATCAAGTTATAACACTCAGGCAACAGTCAATGAAGTGGGTCTACACAGATCTTACAGCCATATAAACAAAATTCCTTTTCTCCATTAGGTACTATGTCTAAGTTGTAGGGTTTTAACTTTGTGAATGTACTACTTAATTAAAGAGAATGCCAAAATGTCTAGTAGATAACAGGTGCTCAAAACTGGTATCATTATTCTCCAAACATCACTCCTTCCTTCTTAAGAATATATTGCACTGCAAATTGTGGAAAAGATTAAAAAAAATGAGTCCATCATCACTTCTCTCTGGTGACCTTAATAATTTATCTTTAGAATTTTCAATGTTATTCACCAAAAAAGAATAATTCACCCAAGAATAACAGTAATAGATTTTCTTTTCTTCAGAAGTTTCTCACCATTTAAATACAAGCCTATTTATAAGGAGGCTGTCACACTAATGTTATTCTTTTCTTACTCTATGTACTTTCCCAAGGGGACAACCATGCCTTCAGCCCAGAACATTTCCTTTGCTCTCCAGGCTGGGATATCCGACTGCTTGCTAGATATCTGCACTCCAAAATACTGTAGGTATTTCAGTGTTTTCCAAACTAAAATCATTTGTCACCCCAACTCACTCTTGCTTTTCTATTTGTGTTCCTTCACCCAGTGAATGAGTCATCATTCATCTAGTTTCCTAAGTCAGAGGGCTGGGGGCCAACTTGGATTCCATCTTCTTCCCTTAACTAACCGATCACTAAAAACTATTGGTTATCCCTCCTAAATTGTTTTCAAATTTTTCCTTTATGCTATCCTTGCTGCTAAAGTTCAGATCCTAATCATGCCTTACTTGGAATGCTACAATAGTCATCCCCTTAATCTAAACACTTCTTCTAAGCCATCTTTTTCTTTGCTGCAGGAATGATTGCTCTAAGACAGAAATATGATCATGCATATCTCTGTGAAGAGGTGGGATAACAGGCAAGAATTTTGGTTGGGTAATATAAAAGTTCCACAGAAATACGCTCTCAATAATATACCACTTCTCACTCCCACACACTCATCAGCATAGAATACCTATGCTATAGATCCCCACCAAAGAAGACAACATTGTACTGTCTACCATTTAATTCTGGTAAAAAAAAAATCTAGTTATAAGACAGTAAGAATTGTACACGATTATTCGAAGGACACAAAATCTACAAAAAGCTATAGACTTTTTCCTTATATCTCAAGAAGCTGAGATCCAAAATATGGCTCAATTAAGTCATCTGCCTCTTAACTCTTATGGCTTATTTTTGTTCTATTCCCTTTCCTATCTATAGCTCCTATTAAAAATTATATTTCCTTGGTTTCCTTGGTTCTAAATTTGTTTTTTGTTACAGGTTTATTGACATAATTCACATACCATACAACTCACCCACTTAAAGTGTATAATGCAGTAGCTTTTATTATATTCACAGAGTTGCGCAACCATCATCACAATCAATTTTAGAACATTTTCATCACCCTAAAAAGAAACCCGGTACCGGTTAGCAGTCAATCTCCGTTTCTTTCCAAACCTCCCAGTCTTAGGCAATCACTGATCTGCTTTCTGTCTCTATAGATTTTTCTGTTCTGGATACCTCATAACGACAGCAACCATAAAACATGTGGTCTTGTATGACTGGCTTCTTTCACTTAGCAATATTTGTGGGGTTCATCCATGTTGTAGCATACATCAGAATTCATTTCTTTTTGTTGTTGAATAATATTCCACTATGGATATCCCACATTTTATTTATCCATTTATCAGTAGATGGATATTTGGATTTTTTCCACTTTTTGTCTATTATGAATAAAGTTGCTGTGAACATTCATGTAGAAGTTTTCATGTGGACATAGGTTTTCATTTCTCTTAGGTATGCATACCTAGGGATGGATTGCTGGGTCACATGTAACATTTTGAAGAACTGCCAAACTATTTTCCAAAGCACCATTTTAAATTCCCACCAGCAATGTATGAGAGTCCCAACTTCTCCACATCCAGGACAACACTTGTTACTATCTGTCTTTTTGATTATAGACATCCTAGTGAGTGTGAAGTGGTATCTCATTGAAGCCTACTTGCATTTCCCTAATGGATAATGATATTGAGCATCTTTTCATGTGCTTATTGGTCATTTGCATATCTTCTATGGAGAAATGTCTGTTCAGATCCTTTGCCTATTTTTAAATTGGGTTATTTATTCTTTTATTGTTGAGTTGTACGAGTTCTTTATACAATCTGGATACAAGTCCCTTATCAGATATATAATTTGCAAATATTTTCTCCCATTCTGTGGACTGTCTTTTCACTTTCTTGATTGGTGTCTCCTGACTTGTTTTTAAACTTGTATGAATTTTTTTATATGTTCCTTCAACCTTTGAAGATTAAGCTGTTAGAAATTTTCATTATCTTTTACAGTCCTACTGAAAATCTTTCAGAGGCTCCCATCATATTCAGGATAAAACAAAAATCCCAGCCCTTAAGACCATTCATGATCCAGACTATGACAACCTCCTTGAACTTAGATACTGTCTCTCTTACATACGCCTTACCCTTCAGTCTAAATGCCCCAAACCAAACTCTTGATCTTCCCCCAGTAACATGTTTCTCCTCAGTCTTCCCTATCTTAATAAATGGCAACTCTATCCTTCCAGTTGTTCAAGCCAAAATTGTGGAGTCAGTCTTGACTACTTGCAGACTCCACCATTCAGTCCACCAACAGATCCCATTAGTTCTACTTTCAAAATACATCCAAAGTCTGACCTCTCACTACCTCTACTCTTACTATTCTGGTCCATACTCCAATATCTCTTGCCTATATTTGGGCAACAGACTCCTAACTATAGTCTCCCTAACTTCTAAACTCCTCCTCAGGAGTCTATTCTTACCATGGAAGCCAGGATGATTCTTTTAAAACAAAGGTCATATCATGTTATCCTTCTAAACCTTTCAAAGGTTTTCCAAACCACTTATATTCACCTATAATGCCTTATATGATCTGGCTTCTTGCTTCTTCTCTCACTTCATCTCCTACGTCTTTCCTCTTCCCTCACTCCACTCCAGGAGCCCAGGCCTCTTGCCTCAGGGCCTTGCTCCAGCTATTCCCTCTATCTGGAATGCTCTTCTCTCCAGTGAGTCAGACAGCTTGCTCTGTCTCCTTCTTTAGGTCTCTGCTCAAATGCTCCCTTTTCAATGATGACTTCTTTGACCACACTACTTAAATAGCAAACCACCATCCCAATACTCCCTAGACCCCTATCTGGCTTTATTTTTCTCCATAGCATTCATTACCATATAGCAGAGCACAAATATACTTGCTTATTTGTTTATTGTCCATCTCCTCCAACTAGAATGTGGACTCAATGAGGGCAGAGATTTTATTTTTAATCAACTTTGTTCACTACTATATAGCTCCAGCAATTAGAACAATTCTGGCATGGAGTGAGTCCTCAACAAATATTGAATAAATGAACACCTGAATTTGTGGGCTAACAGTCATACCTGCTATATAACTATTAGAACACAGAGTTTTAAAAAGCACAACTTAAAAAATGTTAGTTCTTACATTTTTCTGTGGTATTTCTGATAGTCTTCTGAAGAGGTACCTAGGAAAGGAAAAAAAACCAATCTATTAAAAATATAATTCAAACACAGGTCAGAGGCTAAAATTACTCTAGGTAAAAATAACTATTTCCTCTAAAATACATGCTGATAGTGCAGTTTACTTTTATAATTTTATCATTTTATATTGTTTTTACATCTGCCACTTAAATTAGGAAGAAGCATTTTCTAATTTTTTTTTTTTATAATTTTATTTATTTTTTTCCCCCTAAGCCACAGTAGACGGTTGTACGTCATAGCTGCACATCCTTCTAGTCGCTGCATGTGGGATGCGGCCTCAGCATGGCTGGGGAGGCGGTGCGCCGGTGCGCGCCCGGGACCCGAACCCAGGCCGCCAGCAGCAGAGCGCGCGCACTTAACCTCTAAGCCAGGGGGCCGGCCCTGGAAGAAGTATTTTCAAAATACCAAAATAAAACAAAATTGTTGTAGAATTTTATGAGATGCAGGAATCTATCATCTTGTATTTAGATAGTTCTTTATAATTTTTGAAGTCCTTTTACATCTGATATCTTATTTGATTCTTAAAACAATCCTGTGTGGCAAATATACCAATTTACTATCCCCATTTTACATATAAGAAAAAAATAGCTGGTCAAGTTATAAAACTAATAGCTATATGCCTGGAACTTAAACTCAGGTCTCATGGTTCTCAGCCCAGTACCAAATATATAGATATGCATATTAGTAGATTGATTAGTCAAGAGAATGCCTACCAGTCAGGATTTTACTGCCTAGGTACAGTAGAATATTACTAGGAATCTAAAAAATCATGGTAGTAGTCTTCTGAAAAGTTTATAACTCTCAGCAGCTGCAGAACTCTGCTTACATTAAATTGGAATTTAAAAATCCCAACAGTTAAGCGAAAGTTAAGTGAATGGTGGCTCCCAATCATTGCAAAGCATTTCCCTGAAAGGAAGTTTCCGAAAACATAAAGGACTACTGTGGACCCTTATCATCCAGTATCTACTCTTTGCTTTTGCCGATAACAGTCTCCTGCTTTTTCTTCTGATGGTCCAGACATGGCCTGTGACTCAATGCAGTAAGAGCCCTGCATCTCCTTGGCCAAAGGGACTGTTCAGGGATAGGCATATAAACTAATTTAAGCCAATACGTAAGGCCCAGGACTTCTTGTCAAATCACTGGGAAAGAGAAGCACTTTTTTCATTGGATTTGAGGCTGTGAGTATATAAGCCTGGAGCTAAAAAGGGTTGCTATATGAAGGGAGCTTGGCTGAGAGCATAACTGACATAGAGGGATCCTGAGCTGAGAGATGGAAAGGAACTGGGTTCTATTGATATTATTTGAAACCCTGGATCAAGTTGTACCTGCATCTGATTTACTGCTGGATTTTTCAGGTACATGTGGTATAAATTCCCTTTTTAACCTAATACAGTTTGAGGTAGGTTTTTTTTTTTTTTTGTCATTTGCAGCGGACAAATAACCTAACTGAAATACTTGCTAAAGAGACAGGCCATTTTTTTGGGCACTCTACATCACCAAAGGAGGTGCCAAACTAAACATAACACAAAAGACAGGGCCTTCAAACACTGTTAGAAATATTGCCATCCAGACAGCTATCAACTCTCCCATAAAGGACCCTGAGCCCAATGCTTAGTTCTTTGACTGATATTTCCCCTGCTTTGCAGTAGGCTCTGGTAGGTGGGCTGACAACATCCATTTCTACTCCCCTCTCCATTTATCCATTTTCCCTTGCTTTGTACCACTATAGAGGCTATGAAAGCAAAATACTTGGTTTCCCAGCATCCTAAGGAGTCAGTAGATATATGACTCAGTTCTGCTGAAGAATTTCTGGGAAAGCTTTTGCTCTTCTGATAAAAGGAGATGTACATGGCTGGTACTGCCCTTTCTCATTCTTTCTGCATGGAACACAGCTGTGATGCCTGGAGGTTTAACAACCATCTTACACCTATGGGGTGACAAGCCAACACACATGGTAGTAAAAGGATAGAAAGAGTCCAGGATCTTGATAATATGAGTGAGCTGCTACACTAGCTCTGGCCTTGGAAGAAAAGTAAATCCAATATAAATACACATTTTTTTTTGCATGACAAAAAAATACCATAAACAAAAAAATAAATGACAAGCTGGGAGAAAATATTCACAATATATACCACAGACAAAACACTAATATTCTTAATATATAATGAACTCTTAAAAATTGAGGGTAGGGGTCGGCCTGGTGGCGTAGCGGTTAAGTTCGCGTCCTCCACTTCAGCAGCCTGGAGTTCGCAGGTTCAGATCCTGGGCGCAGACCGACACACTACTTGTCAAGCCGTGCTGTGGCAGGCGTCCCATATAAAGTAGAGGAAGATGGGCACAGATATTAGCCCAGGGCCGATCTTCCTCAGCAAAAAAGAGGAGGATTGGCAACAGATGTTAGCTCAAGGCTAATCTTCCTCACAAAAAAAAAAAAAAATTGAGGGTAAAGGATAAAAAACCAGATAGAAAAATGGGGAAAAGGCATGAACAGAAAATTCACACACACACACACACACACACACACACACAAAGTAAAAATGACCCTCAAACATAAGAAAAATGTTTGAACTCACACATAATTAGGGAAATGCAAATTAAAATAACACTGAGATACCATTTCTCACCTATTGGTGAGGATATGGGGAAACAAGGACTCTAATACATTGCTGGTGGAAATGCAAACTAGTACAGTCCTTCTAAAGGAAAATTTGGCAATACTCAACAAAACTATATCCATTTACCTTTTGACCCAGCCACCCTACTTCTGGAAATCTACCTTGAAGATATACCACCAATAATATTAAAAAAACATCATAAGTTTATTCACTGAAGCATTGTTTGTAATGACAAAATATTGGGGAAAAAACCTAAATACCCAATTCATAGGAGAGTGGTTGAATAAACGAAAGTACATCCATACAGTGGAGTACTATGCAGCTGTAAAAAACATGAGGAAGATCCCCGTAAAACCATATGGAGTGATTTCTAGAACATACTATTAAGTGGAAAAAGCAAAATTAAAAGACTATAATCATGCTATCCTTCAGGTAAGAAACAAAAGGATATAAGAAAATACATAGGTATCTGTTCATTTGTGCAAAAGAAATATAAGAGAGAAAAACCATAAACAGAAGACACTGGTACTTATAAGGGGTGGGTAGGAAAGGGGTAGAAAGAAAAGGGGAATGGGAGCAGGGGAGCAGGAAGAAAGAGGAAGTGATACTTTTCTGAGAATATTTTTTTGTATAGCTATGACTCTTAAGAGCCATAGTAATGTCTCACATACCTTCACATAGCCCCCTCTCCTTGAATAAATAAACAAAACCAAACAGGATGGGAGAAACAAAAATTGAATTGAACACTAACAAATGAATCTAACTATATTACAAGCAAATAACAACTTTTCTGAAAGGGGAGGGGAAGAAAAGAACTAACCTACATAACTTATTTTGACTAGATTCTGTAATGCTAAAGACAAAAAGAACTGTACATAAATGCTGTAATCTATTTAGTAAATGTGTTTCTCACAGGGGTCTGGTTTAACAATCCTAAAACTTCTTTATGTGTATATTAGAATTAAATAAATAACAAAATAAATAATGAAAGTATTGGATTTAAACCCACAAAATCAAATAAATATTCATGAGTCCATACTGATATAAATAATTGAATAAATAAATGGCAGAAAAGAGACAGTTCTTCAACAGTAGAATTCCAATTAATAAATTTAGCAGGAAAGAATAAAGTAGAAAATCACCATTAGATGGACACCACAGTAATCACTGTTGCAGTCAAGTTCCTCTGGTGACTGGTAATATCAGTGAAAGAAAGTTTGAGGAGAAAGAGGATTTACAGAGTCTCAAACTATCTTTTTCTACGTATTTATTAACTACAAAGGGAAACTAATAACTTTAAAGTGGAAAAAACCAGCAGATACCATCTTAATCAAGTAATTAAGTTTAACATCACCAGTAATAAGATATATTGACATCAGGAACTCCTTAATACAACGTACTGAGAAGGGTGCAACATCATTTCTGTGGTGTTCTTATCAAAAATTGCATAACCTCATTTTAGTCATGAGAAAACATTACACAAATTCAAATTGAGGGACATTCTACAAAATAACCAATCAGTAATCTTCAAAAGTATCAAGATTATGAGAGACAAAGAAAGACTGAGGAACTGTAACAGACTGCAGTAGACTACAGGAGAAACAACCATTTAATATACAGTCTTGGGGCTGGCCCCGTGGCTTAGTGGGTAGGTGAACGCACTCCGGTGCTGGCGGCCCGGGTTCAGATCCCGGGCGTGAACTGACGCACTGCTTCTCTGGCCATGCTGAGGCCGCGTCCCACATACAATAGCTAGAAGGATGTTCAGCTATGACATACAACTATCTACTGGACCTTTGGGGGAAAAAATAAATAAATAAAATTTTAATATATGATCTTGGATAGGATCCTGAAACAGAAGAAAAGACATTAGTGGAAAAACTGGTCAAATGTGAATAAGGTCTGTAGTTTAGATAATAGTTTTTATACCAATGTTAATTTCCTGAATCTGATCATTGTACTAAGGTTATATAAGATAACATTGGGAAAGGTGGGTGAGAGTTATATGGGAACCCTCTGTACTATTTTTGCAACTTTTCTGCAAGTCTAAAATTAATTCAAAATAAAAGTTATAAAAAAGTAAACCCATATGTGCTTAAGCTACTATTAGATATTATTTGTAGCCAAAGGTAATCCTAGTTGATGAACTTAGCTTAGAAATCGTCCAAAAGAAAAAAATACTTGGCTTTTCCAAAATAGGTGAGGGTTTTCGGCTGTGACATGAGAAAAAAGAATGTGAAAACTCACTTAAAACTGCAGAGAGGTTTGAAAACTGTGGTGCCTTCTCTATCGGTACTGCTTTACTGGTATCCAGAAGAGTTGAATTCTTGTATTGCATGTGTTCTAACTTGGGACTCTCCCAATCTAAAAAAGCAGGAAGAAATGGCACAAAACTTTGAACAACAGCACACAAATGGCAGGTTACCTCCCGCCCGCCCCCCGCCCCCCAACTTAGGTCCCCAGCCCATACCAAACTAGGGTAATTGAAGAAGGTTTTGAGTGAGACAGAGAAAAATGAGAAGGATTGATGGTGTCAGTATAGTAAGTAATCTTTGGCCAATTCCAGTGCTCTAACCGGCTTTCTTTCATAGATTTTTGCTCCATAAAGATTACTGATCTAAGGGACAGACAGCATACATGGAGCTGCCTCTCATATTTTATGTATAAGTTAAACCTATGTCCCATTAACTATCATATCACTGAATAGCATACTGCTATCACTTGACGTCATTTTTAAGCTTTCCATTTACTTCCCACGATGGAAGAATGACGCTGTTCTCTCTCACATTCCCTGTCCCCACTTTTCTCACACTTCCCATTGTCCTCATATTATTACATCACATGTTTAGTTAGATCTATATTTAATGTAGACATTATGATAAATTACTATAAAAGGACTATTTACTCTTGTGGTACACTATGACCACCTTTTGTTTTTCCTGGAGTCAATAAAAATCCTTTTTGTTTGTTTAGTTTTCTCGGTATTTTTCATCTATTTAATCCCAAACTCTACCAAATTGTATAAATCCATTCTGTTTATTCCATTCTCTGGTGTTCTGAAGTTTCATAATGCTTTATCTTGATGTTTTTCATCTATTGTGCTAGGCACACTCTGGCCTCTTTAACCCCCAAATCATATTCTTTACCTCTAGAAAATGTTCTTAAATTACATCTTTGATAATTTTCTTCCTGCTGTTTATTTCATTATCTTTTTCTGGAACTCCTATCATTTGATATTGAACATCATATACTGTTCCTCTACTTTAACTTTTTTCCCTCCAAACTTCAATCTTTTTTCTTCATTTTTCCCTCTTTTTTTCTAGGAAATCTCCTCAATCTTATCTTCTAATCCTTTTACTCAGTTTTCCATTCTGCTATTGAATTTAATTTGTTCTCTGAATATTCCCTTTTTAATTGCATCCTGTTCCTATTTAATGGATGTAATATATCTTTTCCTATCTCAGTGAAGATTTTTTTTTCAATATTTTCTGCTCCTTGTCTTTCTATTTCTGCTTGGTTACTTTTACTTTTTACTTTTTAATTTTATTGTGGTAGGAACACTTAACATGAGATCTATCCTCTTAAGTTTGTAAGTGTACAACAGAGTATTGTTAACTACAGGCACAGTGCTGTATGGCAGATCTCTAGAACCTATTCATCTTGCATAACTGAAACTTTGTACTTGTTGAATGGCAACTCCCCATATCCGCCTCTCCCTAGGCCCTGGCAACCAACATTCTACTCTCTACTTCTATGAATTTAACTATTTTAGATATCTCATATAAGTGAAATCATACAGTATTTGTCTTTCTGTAACTGCCTTATTTCACTTAGCATAATGTCCTCAAGGTTCATCTATGTTGTTGCATATGGGCTAACATTCTTGCCCATCTTCCTCTACTTTATATGTGGGATGCCTGCCACAGCATGGCTTGATAAGTGGTGCGTAGGTTCCCGTCCAGGCTCCGAACCTGCAAACCCCGGGCCGCCAAGGCGGAGCGCACAAACTTAACCACTACGCCACCGGGCAGGCCCCAGAATTTCATACTTTTTTAAGGCTGAATAATGTTCCATTCTATGTATATGCCATATTTTCTTTATCTATTCATTCATCGACGGACACTTAGGACGTTGCCACATTTGGCTATTGCATATAATGCTGCAGTGAACATGGGAGTGCAAACATCTCTTTGAGATCCTGATTGCAATTATTTTGCATAAATACCCATAACTAGGATTGCTGGATCATATGATAGTACTATTTTTAATTTTTTGAGGAACCTCCATACTGTTCTCCATAGCAGCTGCACCATTTTACATTCCCATCAATAGTGTACAAGGGCTCCAATTTCTCCCCATCTTTGCCAACACTGATCTTTTTAAATTTTTTCATAATAATCCTAACAGATGTGGGGTGATATCTCATTGTGGTTTTGATTTGCATTTCCCTCATGCTTAGTGATGTTAAGCATCTTTTCATATACTGTTGGCTATTTGTATGTCTTCTTTGGGGAAAAGTCTATTCAAGTCCTTTGCCCATTTTTTAATCAGGTGATTTGGATTTTTTTTCTTCCTATTGAGTTGTAAGAGTTTCCTATATATTTTGGATATTAATCCCTTATCATATATGTGGCTTGCAAATATTTTCTCCCATCCCATAGCTTGCCTTTTCACTCTGTTGATTGTTTTTTTGCTGTGCAGAAGCTTTTTAGTTTTATGTAGACCCACTTGTCTGTTTTTTGCTCTTGCTGCCTGTGCTTTTGGTGTCATAGCCAAGAAACCATTGCCAAGACCAATGGCATGAAGCTTTTCCCCTATGTTTTCTTCTAGGAGTTTTATAGTTTCTGGTCTTACATTTAAGTCAAATCCATTTTCAGTTTATTTTTGTGTATGGTGTAAGGTAAGGGTCCAATATCATTCTTCTGTATGTGGACACCCAGTTTTCCCAACATCATTTGTTAAAGAGACTATTCTTTCCCCGTTGTGTATTCTTGGCACCCATGTCAAAGATCAGGTGACCATATATGCATAGATTTATTTCTGGGCTCTCTATTCTGTTCTACTGCTCTATATGTCTGTCTTTATTGCCAATACCATACTGTTATAATTACTGAAGCTTTGCAATATATTTTGAAATCAAAAAGTGTTTTCTGTCTGGATAGTCTATCCACTGTTGAAAGTGGGGGTATTGAAGTCTCCTACTATTATTGTAGGAGACTATTTCTGCCTGTAGTTCTGTCAGTGTCTGCTTTATATGTTGGGTGCTCTGATGTTGGGAGCATATTTATTTATAATTGTTATAAGTTCCTGAATTGACCATCTTATCATTATATAATGCCCTTCTCTGTCTCTCGTGGTAGTTTTGGACTTAAAGTCTATGTTATCTGGTATAAGTATAGCCACTCCTACTCTCTTTTGGTCACCATTTGCATGGATATCTTTTCCCATCCCTTCACTTTCAGCCTATATGTGTCCTTAAATCTAAATGAGTCTTTTGTAGACAGCAAATAGTTGGATTTTGTTTTTTAATCCATTCAGCCACTCTTTGTCTTTTGATAGGAGAGTTTAATCCATTTATATTTAAAGTAATTATTCATAGGGAAGGACTTACTATTACCATTTTGCTAATTGTTTTCTGTCTGTTTTGTAGTTCTTTGCCCCTCTTTCCTTTCTTGCCATCTCCCTTTGTGTTCCATTGATTTTTTTTTATACCGATATGCTTTGATTTCTTTATATTTTTCTTTTGTGTATCTTTTACAGGTATTTTATTTGTGGTTACCAAGGGGCTTACATAAAACATAGTTTTAACAGTCTATTTGAAGCTGATAACAACTTCAATCATATACAAAAACTCTACACTTTTCCTTCTCCCCCACACACACTTTGTTATTGATGTTACAATTTACGTCTTTTTATATTGTGCATCCATTAACATATTCTTATAGTTATTTTTAATACTTTTGTCTTTTAACTTTTATACTGTAAGTGAGCATAAGTGAGGCCATCTTGTTATGCTAAATGGCCCCAGACCCTCATCTGTGTGACTACTTGCTGCTCCACACGTACTCTAACAAAATTCACATGCTCTCCTGATTTATGGTCTCTGCATATGTACGTACTCCCCGATACCTTGATAAATTAAAAATTTTATTCTATGAGTTTCTCTCCAGGAACAGGCTGACCACAGGTGGGAAATACACCTACAAGTATCTCTCACAGCTGACAGAAGAATGGCACAATAAAAGACCCTGGAGTCCACCATGCCTGAAGGAAACCCCCTCCTAACTGCCCATTTTGCCTATATAACTACCTCAAGATTCTGTAATTTTTGAAGACGTGTTTTTGAGACATTAGTCACTTGTCTTCCAATTTGCTAGCTAATCTAATTTAACTTCCTTTATCGATCCCTAACTTTTTGTGATTAATTGGCTCAGATCGCAGCAAGCAGAGCAAGCCCACTGCTTGGTATCAATACTAGAATTAAAAGTGACATATACCACTGTTATAGTATTAAGTATTATATACTTTCTATATATTTATCAGCAAATTTTACTTTCATATGCTTTTATGTTGCTGTTTAGAGTCCTTTGTTTCAACTTGAAGAACTCCCTTTAGCATTTCTTGTAAGGCAGGTCTAGTGGTGATTAACTCCTTCACTTTTTGTTTGTCTGAGAAAGTCCTTATCTCTTCTTCATTTTTTAAGAACAGATTTGCTGGATATAGTAATCTTGGTTGACAGTTTTTTTCTTCTAGCACTTTGACTAGATCATTCCACTCCCTTCTGGCCTGCAAGGTTTCTGCTGAGAAATCCATAGATAGTCTAATGGGGGTTCCCTTGTACGTATCAAGTCACTTTTCTATTGCTGCTTTCATAATTCTCCCTTTGTCTTTGACTTTGACAACATGATTATGTGTCCCAGTGAGGATTTCTTTGGTTTATCTTATTTGAGGTTCATTGGGCTTTCTAGGTCTGGATGTAACATTTCTTTACCCAGATTTGGAAAACTTTCAACCATTATTTCTGTGAATAAGCTTTCTGATCCTTTCTCTCTCTCTCTCATCTTCCTCTGAAACTCCCATAATGCATATATTGATCTGTTTGATTTTGTCCCATAAGTCTCTCAAGCGTTTTTCACTCTTTTACATTCTTTCTCCTTTTTGCTCCTCTAACTGGATAATTTCAAATGATCTACCTTTGGGTTCACTGATTCCCTCTTCTGCTTGATCTAGTCTGCTGCTGAACTCCTTTACTGAATTTTTCAGTTCAGTTGTTGTATGCCTCAGCTCTGAGATTTCTGTTTGGTTCTTTAAAAAACTTTCTATATCTTTTTTAAAATTGTCACTTTTTTCATGCATTGTTCTCTTGAGCTCACTGAACATCTTTATGACAATTATTTTGAAATCTCTGTCAGGTAATTCATATATCTCCATTTAATTAGGGTCAGTTTCTGGAGCTTTATCTTACTCCTTTTTTTGGACCATGTTTCCTTGTTTCTTCTTTTTCTTTGATTCTTTGTTTTGGTATCTGCACACTAGAAAAAACAGCCACCTCTCCCAGTCTTCACGGACTGGCCTCGTACAGAAGACCCTACCAATCACCCCAACCAGAGCTTAAGGGATCCTCTCAAACCTTCTTGTTAGTCCAAATCACCATCTTTGTTCTAGTGGCCACCAAGCATCTATAGTATACCAGGCCCCATCAGTGCTCTGAGATAGGTGAGACAGAAGCCATCCCCTTGAGCAGCCCCTGGAAATGTTGGAATGTTGGACACATGATCCAACTCTTTCCCTCCCCAGAAAGAAGTGGGATCTAGTGAATGCTTGCATTCTAGACCAAACTTCTATCTTTGTTCTTAGCACCCATCAGGCTTCTAGAGTATGTCAGGTCCCATCAGCACTCTAAAGATACGTAAGACAGTATCCAATCCTTTGGGAAGCTCCCAGAAAACTTAGAACATTTCATGCCTGGTTCAGTCCTTTCCTTCCCTCCCCAGGGAGAAGCTGGGAACTAGGGTTTTTCTGCCAATTGTATGGCACTGTGCTGGGGGTAGTGATGGTAGTGAGAAGGTGTCTTGAATTTTCCTACTGGCTTTCGTGTGGCTGGTCTCATGCTTGCCTGGGGTGCAGGAGCCCCTCAACTAGTTTTTAGATTTCTCACAAAGGGAATTAGTCTGTGCATTGCTGTTAAATTAGTGTGTCTATAGGGGAAGGAGGGGCCAGGGCTTCCTATTTAACACCTTGCTGATATAACTTCCATATTTTGCTTTGTTTTGATCTCTATGTTTTATGTTAGAGGGTTTCCTCAGAAGTCTGGTGATCCTTGGCTCTCTGCTTATATTTAAGAAGGAGCTCTAAAAGGCCAAGTGGAATCTCTATAGCCTAGCTGGGGCTTGTCACATAGTTGGCTTCACTGTAGGGTGTTCTGTCAGTTTCATCGAAGGACTATTGAGGTCAGTATCTTTAAATATTTTCTTTAGAGTTGCTCAGACTTCTCATGAAAGAATCTTCCAGTCTTCTGCCTAGAAGGTTCAAGTCTGGGTACTAGTATTCTGAAAGCTGAACAGGGAAATGGGCTATTGGGTTGGGATGGGAATAGGCATTGGGTGAGCAGGTCTCACAATTTAGAATGTACGTTTTCATTTAATTACCCCTCGTCTGCGTTCAGTATAGTATCTGAAACAGTCGACTTTTTCTGCATAATAAATAACTCCAACATCTCAGTGGCATAAAATAAAAGCATTTATCTCTTATTCCCATATTTACTGGTTGGCTCTGCTTCAGATTACAGGCCTGCTGATCAGCAGGGGCAGCTCCCTGCAGTTTGCAGGTTGCCTGGGGTTGTTCTGCTCTGCATCTTTCATTCTGCAGTCCCATAGGAGAGGCAGAAGCTAATTAGGATATATTCTTATCATGATGGCAAAAGTGTAAGAGGACAAGCCTAACCATTTAAGCATATTTCAAAGGTTTGCATATGTTTCATTCACTGATATCCTACTGCCCAAAGCAAGTCACGTGGCCAACCCCAAAGCTAAAGAGTGAGAGAGTATACTCCACCCACTAGGAGGTTATGGCAAGAGTGTGGATATATAACATTACTACAGGGGAATGAGTAATTGGGACTAACATTTCAAAATACCACAGTATCCCTGCTCTTAACAGTGCCTAGTATCTTCCAGTCCAGAGTCCTTCTGTTTCAAAACATCCCAAAGAATAAATCTCTAGGCTCCAATTGAGTAGGAAAGGAGTAATCACCACATCTTTCACATTTCAGACATATCTTTTTACAAGTGTTTGGTGCAGCCAAACTGCGAGCTTTTCTGGGATACCATAGTACAAACTAGCTTGTTTCTGGTGTATTCCCATTGTTGACTTAGGACTCAGCTTTCTCAAGTCTGCTTTATCAGACCATTTGCTCTCTAGCTTTCCAAACTTTATGCTTTATTCTTTCCAACGCTCTTTACCCTTATGTTTTTGTGTCTTAAAAAACGCCATTTTTTGCCACTGCAAAAAGTTGTGGAGGAAGGCATGTGTTCAGTCTGCTATCATTAACAAAGGCTCTTAATTACATGTATAGTCAACGTAAATAACTGGTAATTTGTAGAGAAAATTCAAGCAGGGACATGGCCTAATTAACATTTAGCTTATTTACTGAAAAGTAGGAGAAGTACAGGAAATAAAAGATAGACCATAGTTCAAGAGAACAAGTATACATTCATTATGTGCAAAATTGCTTAATAATTGGATATGTGCTACATGTAAATGTTAATCTCTTCATTCTTTCCTGATCTGAGGGCTTTTGATCTATAGTCCTATGCGATTGAGCATGGAACATAGTGGATAGGGGGCAAGGGAAAAAGATTTTGGTGAGGAAGACAAGTACGCCTTCTCAAAAACAACATTATTCATTGGAGGATTTGTGGACAAAGGAACAATTTCTTAAGGTTGAAATTATTTTCTCACCTAAATAATCTGATCCTCTGAAGAGTTCAGGTGATGGAAAGCTACTTAAACTCTCTTCAAAACTCCTGTTTTCTGTGTAAGAGTCTGTGATTGAACAGCTCAGAAGAGAACTAGAAATACCATGCTGCAAACTTAGTCCTGTAGAATAAGCAAACAAACAAAAAAGGTAAAATGTTTCAATAGTAAACAGACTAAAAATCCTAAGAATTCAAATTTGTAGAAATGTATATGCAATTGTACACTAAGACTGTAAAATTACTTCCACATACAACTGAAAAGGCATACTATTGTATACCACTTAAATTTCAAGCTTAGAAAAGAATCTTGTTTTTGATGTACAGAAAATGCATTATAATCCTTTCCATTGTTTTTAAAATTTTTATAACTTATTCCTTCCCTATTTTGGTTCAGTTGTGATTCTTGACTCAAAAATGCAAGTTTTATATATAAGTAACCCACTAATTGTAAGCTAACTAACTGAGGAGAAGAAAGAGTGATTCTAGTTACTCCATTTAAAAAACAATGAGCCTAAACATTGACAAATAGATAAAGTAACGGAACAGAGAGCCCAGAAATAGACTCACACGCATATGAGCAACTGATTTTTGACCAAGATGCAACGGCAATTGAGTGGAGAAAGGTATTCTTTTAAACAAATTATGCTGGAACAACTGGATATCCATATGTAAAAGCAAAACAAAACAAATATCTTGCACTTATACCTTCCATCATATAAAAAATTAACTCTAAATGGATCATAGACTTAAATGTTAATCCTAAAACTAGAACACTTCTAGAAAAAAAAACAGGAGAAAATCTTCATGACACAGAGTTAGGCAAAGTTTCTTTGATATAACATTAACAAGATGATTCATAAAACAATAGTAATGATAAATTGAACATCAAATTTACGAACTTCTCTTCAAAAGAGACTGTTAATTTACATTCCCATCAACAGTGTACAAGGGTTCCTTTTTCTGCATATCCTCTCCAACACTTGTTATTTCTTGTCTTTTTGGTAATAGCCATTCTAACAGGTGTGAAGTGATATCTCATTGTGGTTTTGATTTGCATTTCCCTAATAATTAGTGATTTTGAACATCTTTTTATGTGCCTGCTGGCCATCTGTATGTCTTCTTTGGAAAAACATTAACATCTTTTTATGTGCCTGCTGGTCACCTGCACGTCTTTTTTGGAAAAACGTCTATTCAGATCTTCTGCCCATTTTTTCAAGCCACAGACTAAAAGAAAACATTTGCAAATGGACTGCAATCCAGAATATAAAGAACTCTGAAAACTCAGTCATAAGAAAACAAACATCTCAATAAGAAAATGGGCAAAATATTTGAACAGAGAATCTCCAACACTCAGAGGTCTTGAAGTCATCCATGTGAAAGTGGACTAGAATGAAGACCTTTCCAATAAAGGATAGGGATAAAACTTAGTACTAAAAGTTAAGAGCCAGAAAGTTTAGTAAGAAAAGGGAAAACATACTCTGCTATACCTATTATCTCCTGCCCTGGAGCTCACTTATGCCTATCTCTGCTCATCTATTAACTACCTGTGACAACTAACTCTTTGTGCTTCCTACATTCACCTTACCACACCTTTCTCTCCCACTCCAACCCTCTCCTTAAAGTTGACAATTGTTTTTTACCTGGCCACCTCCTCCAGCCACCAATGCAATACTTAAAATGATCGACCCAATCTACCATCCTTCTTTACCTCCTCAGACGTCAGAGGTAGATTATCCCTCTAAGTATCTTTGGCTTCCCCTTTTCCAACTGCCCTAGAGTGTTCTGTCCCTATCTTTGCTACTTTTTACTTTTCTAACTCTGTCTTCATCCCTCCCACCCACATGTTGTTGCATCTCTCTTGCATTCCACCTCACAAAATTCCATGAATACCACTCAAAGGAGAGCTATCCTTTCCACCAAACCCCAGAACTTAAGCCAAGTTCAGAAATTAGGAAAGTCCTATACTCACCATCTGGGTAGAATGGTAGAGCAAAGAATAAATAAATGTTCATGACTATATCAGTGGAAGGTTGTTCCTGGTGTCACAAGTTAGAAATGTAAACGCAATTAAAATTACATTTATAGCAAATTATACTATACATTTTTATTTATTTTTTTGTGAGGAGGATTGGCCCTGAGCTAACATCCATCGCCAAACTTCCTCTTTTTGCTTGAGGAAGTCTGGCCCTGAGCTAATATCTGTTCCAATCTTCCTCTCCGTTATATGGGACGCCGCCACAGCATGGCTTGATGAGCGGTGTGTAGGTCCGTGCCCAGGATCTGAACCTGCGAATCCTGGGTCGCTAAAGCAGAGCACACAAACTTAATCACTGTGCCACCGGGCTGGCCCTATACTATACATTTTTAAAAAGTCAAATAGTCCTACAAGGATTATAACAAAAACTGCAATCTCTTGTCTTATACCTCCCCATCATAATTCCCTACTCTCTAGAGACAACTACTTTCAACTCTACTAATTTTTTCTTTTAAAATCCACCTTCATATTTCTAAATTAAATGTATTCAATGATTCTATTATGATTAGACCTTTTACACATCAACTTGATAAATCTAGTAACCAAGGTCATTTATCATATATTTAAACTGCAATTTTAGAAAATACTGATTATAGTTAAATGGTTTATTCTCTCTAAGTAGAGTACAAAACTTATTCAACAAGCATTTGAAACTACATTATGTCCCAATCACAGGATAGAAAGATAAAAGGTACTGCTTATTCTCAATGGCTTTAGAGTCAAGAGGAACAAAAAACAATTAGACTGCTGTTTTGAGTCCTAAGACAGTATATAAAGAGTGCCACAGAACTACTAGGATAGAACTTATCTAGAAAGAGAGAAGAGCAGTCAGGAGAGGCTTCCCAGTAGAGATGGCACCTGAATTTATTTTTCAAGAACAAATAGAAGTTAACCAGGCAAAGAAGGGAGAGGAAGGAGGGAAAAGCATTTGTTGAGCACCTCCCATGTTCTTTTGCACTACATTCTAGGAAATATTCCTCTATTCTATTTTCTAGCTCACTAATTTGATTTTCAGCTGAATTCATTCCAATATTAGGCTCATTTATTGAGTTTTTAAATTGGATGATATTTTGAGTTTCCAGGGACTATAATTGTTTTCTTTATAGCAGCCTGTTATATTATGGATTCAATGGCCTCTTGCCTCTAAAGAGATATTTAAAGTTTTCTGCCATTTCCTCAGGTGTTAGTTCTTCTGTTTGTTGCACTTGTTGCCTCTCTTCCATGGCACTGGTTTTCTTCAAAGGTTTGGCTGTTCCTGGTTGTCTGTTCATATCTCTATTTGAGAATCTCTTTTTGTATGGCAGTGAGTACAAATTCTGAAACAACACCCTACCTCTGGAGATTTTAGAAGAGGGATGAGACATTTGGGGAACTTATGTTCAAGGTGGGGATGTCCTCCTATATTTTATGGGTATTGTAGGTTACATGGGGGCACTGCCCTAATTGTCTGGCTAGTGTCCACACTGGAAGTCTCCTGTATCGGAATTCCCACTTCAGAGAGCCATACTATATCTATATCCTGGGGTTAACAAGCATAAGCATAATCTAGCTCTTTTGCTTTTTTCTCCCTCTGCTATCCTGTGGCAATCTGGAGTTACTTCAGATTCTCCTCTGCTTCTCACTCCAGCCCCAACATTGACCCTCAGGAGCCAATCCCTTAGTTCACTTTGCTTGAGAGTAGTTCCCAGGGTTTTATCCTGGCAGCAGGCACTGATAGCTGCCAGTGTTTCCAATATAAGAAGGGGATCAGGAGAAGGGGGCCAGGTCATGTAGTGCCAGAATGTAGTGCTTAATCTATTACTTTGACAATTCCTTTAGGGTCCCTTCTATTAGAGTTTTTTTGCATTTATTGATGAAGTGTTTCAACTATCTCTAGAACTATTCTTACCTCTGCAGTGGTTTTTCTCTGCTCTTGATATACTCATCAATCCTATCTCGTCTACTTTTAAGAATTCCTCAGTATTTCTGGTGTGTTGATGGCATCCTTTCTTGTTTTCAAAAATAACCTCGATTATACCAATATGTAGATGGTTCACAAATTTCTATCAGCAGCTCTCCATATCCAAGTGCCTATGTGACATTACTACTTAGTCATCTGAAAGGCACCCATACTTAATATATTAAAAACAAAATGTATATGGGGCCGGCCCCATGGCCTAGTGGTCGAGTTTGGCATGCTCCGCTTTGGCAGCCTGGGTTCATGGGTTCGGATCCCAGGCACAGACCTACACCACTTGTCAGCCATGCTGTGGCAGCAACCCACATACAAAACAGAGGAAGACTGGCACAGATGTTAGCTCAGGGACAATCTTCCTCAAGCAAAAAGAGGAAGACTGGCAACAGGTGTTAGCTTAGGGCCAATCTTCCTCACACACACACAAAAAAATTACGATCTTTCCCTCAACCAAGATTTTTTTCAGTGATTGGTACCACCTTATACCCAGTTATATAAACCAGAAACAGGTGTCATTTTTAATATCTCCATCTCCTTCACTCTTCATTTGCCAAATTGTGTCAATTTCACTTCCTAAAATAGCCATCAGATATGCCCACTTCTTTCCATTTCCGATGTCATCCCTTAGTACAAAGTGCCATCATTTCTCCCCTAAACTACTGCAATAACCTCCTAACTAGTCTGTTTGCATCCACTCCTGCTTCTTTCCATATTGTAGTTAAAGTGATCCTATCATTCTCTATTTAAAAGACTTCAGTGGCTTCCTGCTGCTCCAAAGATAAACATCAATATCTTTGACATGGCCTACAAGGCTATGCAAGGCCTCTGTCTGTCCAACCTGTCTTATTATCACATTTCCTCTTCTTCTCTGTACTACAGCCACACTGGCCTTTTTTCAGTTCATTGAACACATAATGCTCAGTCCCACTCTGCACATGCTATTCCCTCTGCCTGGATTGCTCTTTACTCATTTCTTTGCATAGCTAATTTACAGTCTTCTTCAGATCTCAATTAAATTGCCATTCTTTCATGGAAGCCTTCCCTAATCTCTCCAACTAAACTCAATTAGTTACACTCAAGTCAATCTCTCTTTTGTAGCATTTATCACAATTGTAATTTACTGGTGTGTGCTTGAAGGCTTTGAGGATGAGGTCCAGAGCACAGGCAGAAGGATTCACCTTGGACTAGGAAAAAGACATCTCTTCCACTGAGTTGGGAAGATGCGGCAGAGATACAAATGGATGCTTATGTTTGTAAGAAAGAAAGCTGAGGGAGTTCACATCTAACAGTCTTACCTGATACTAGTTCACTATTTGATGAACTACTGTCAATCTGGAGGTCATCAGGCACTGACTCCTATGTGAAATAAGAATTAAAGATACAGCACAAATTATGAGATTGAATATTTTTATATTATAATTTATATCACATTGATTTGGTTATTTTGAAAATGAAAAACTAATGTCGACTTTGTATATCAGTTTCATATGTATAACAAATTCTTTCAGCTTACTGATCACAGATGTAATCATATTTAATATTAAATCTAAAAATAAAAATTAAAGTATAATATTGTGGACATATCTAGGGAGTCAACAATATACTAGTCAACTAACTACTGTGGGATAAACCAGCAACTACAAGATAAAGGTGAATATTTTTCTGATCCCCTAGGTAGGAAGGGCTTTCTTCCCTCTAAATATGAAAGGAAAATAAATCAAAAGAAAAGATTGACAGTGAATTCTAAATACGAGAAATAAAATTAAAGGCAAACAAATATGAAAATATTTGTTATATATGTGTGTGTAAAAGTATAACTATCTTCAGTATATAATGAATAAGTATTTCATACACAAAAAAGAAACACAAGTGGTCAATGAAATGAGGGAAAAAAGCATCACCTTTACTAGCATTCGAAAGAAATAGAAAGTGAAACGTGCCACTTTCCACCTACCAAATATCAAATATGTATATTTTTTAAGTTTCAGGCCAAGATTCATATTGGCCAATTTGGCAACATGAATCAAAAATTTTAAACATGATCCAACCTTCGACCCGCTGCAAAGTATTTGTCTTAGGATAACAATTTGAGGTACACAAAAAACTTCTGTAGTAGGATCTCCACTGATATCTACAACAGCAAAACATTGGAAACAATCTCAATCCTCCAACCACAGGAAAATAGTTATACAAATCACAGTATATCTATCTATAAGACAAAGCACTACACAGACACTAAAAAACATATTTTTGAAGAATATTTAATGTTAGAGGAATATACAGTAAGATAATTTGTAAAATTTTAAAAAGGCACAGAAAAAAGTAACGGAAAGAAATATACAAAAATTAGAAGAAACTGTTTAAATGCTTTTTTTCAAATAGTCCGAATCATCTACAAGGAACACTTAACACTGTTAAAATCTAGGGTAAAAGCCTTTTTAAAAAATGCCTTTTGCTGAAACTGCCCTGTTATAGAGGAATATGTAAGTTAAAACACAGTCACAGCAATTTTTAAAATCTGAGTTTCTCCAACATACTGCTATACATCTTTAAAATATTATACAGAATTCATATTAAATACAGTAGATCAAGACGTTATATAATATTCTAATGGTAATGAATCCTCTGTTTCTAGTTGTTAATGGAAAGTCAAATGACAATATATGAAAATGGCTTTAACATGTGTGAGTGCTACCAATCATAAGGGAGTTACTAAGAAACGTTTTACACCTGTCACACAGAAAATTAGCCAGTAACAGATATTTCTCAAATTTTTGTCACAGGAAAGAAAAAATGAAAATGCATGGCTATGAATCTACCACAACCAGCAATTCAAGGCCTTGACTAAAGACACAGCATCAATGTTTATAAAAACACTAGAAAGCTATGTAGTCTCTATTTAACAAAGACCATATTATACTTTCATCTGGAGGTACATCAGGTACTGCTGGTCTCTACACTAAGCGTATCCAAGGACTGACCATAGGAGAAACATACATACACTCAATGGAGCAATCTTCTCATCCTGGGGCTCTTCACTAGTGCTCTTTTCTTGCGGGCTTTTCTCTCCTGTAAGTCTTAACTGAGTGCTAACAAACAAACAACACAATTAGTTTGCATGGTCTGGACTTGGCTCTCCACATCTCTGTTCACTGCTTACACTGTTCAGAATCTGAAAGGTTCTTTGGGGACATCATTAGCAAAAAGGAAGGACCAGAGTGGGTGACTTGTACCAATACCCAACTGAAGCTACAAATGTTTTCTTTGAAGTTTTATGTCACTTGCTTTCAGGTAACTTGACAAGATTTCCTTTTTTTTTTTTTTAAATAAATCTTTCTGAAGTCAAATTTCTGGGTCTATGTTCTGAGAAGAGTGAAATCAGAGTATTCTATTTATTTTGTTCGTTGACTCTTAGAAAGAGAAGCTATCAGCAGAAAATTAAGATTCAAGTTTTTTTTTTTTTTTTTTTTTGTGAGGAAGATGGGCCCTGAGCTAACATCTGCCAATCTTCCTCTTTTTGCTGAGGAAGACTGGCCCTGGGCTAACATCCATGCTCATCTTCCTCCACTTTATATGGCACGCCGTCACAGCATGGCTTGACAAGCAGTGCGTTGGTGCGCGCCCGGGATCCGAACCGGCGAACCACGGGCTGCGGCGGCAGCGCACGCACTTAACCGCTTGCGCCTGGTCCGGGCCCGTGACTGAAGATTTGAGAAGGAGGCCAGAAGCCATGGGGCTGTTACTCGTGGCTACGCACCTGGGCAGCCCAGAGCAGCCAGCTCCCTGCCCACTCCGCTCCGCTTTCTCCGCAATCTTCCGCAAACCGTGCGCTTTGTCATTTCTTTTCAGGCCTGAGAGAGAGCGACACGTTTCAGGGCAAAAGCCCTGGAGGCCCGCCTGCCGGCCTCAGGGGTCCCTGGGGCCGAGGCACAGCCGCATCCGCCCTCCACGCTCCCCACTCGACGGGGCTTACAGTGGGCAGCGAGCCTTCGGCCTGGACCAAGGCGGGGCTCCGCTAGGTCGGGCGTCGGGGTTAGGTTGAGTCTCTGGCCGGCCTGCTTCTTGTTGGTATAGACCCTTAGCGGCCACATTGCCACCCCACCCTCAGGCCTCAGGGGCCTCTTGGCCCTTGACGGCCTGTCTCGTCGCCTTCCTGAGGAACGGAGCTACAGTTGGCGGGAGTCAGCGTCCGGGGCGGCCTGCGAAGGCTGAGAACACAGAAGCGACAGAAAACCAAAAGGCCTGTAGCGCCCACCTCTGCGCTGGAAGGGAGCCGCTCCCGCCTTTTTATCTCTGCCCAGCCGCGCGGTGGTTTCTGGGAAGACGGAGTAACGGGGCGGCGGCCCCGCCCTCCTGGAGGCACAGCGCTCGGGTACTTGCCGTGGGCCTCGTGGTTTCTGGGCGCTTGGCACAGGCTCCTTCACCTCGTGCTTAAGGGAAGCTTATTGGAAAAGCCCTTTTTCTCGTCCTGGAGGTTGCCTTTTGCTTTTCATTTTCTCATCGGTCTCATGGGCCCAACATGTGCTACTGACGCCTCGGCTGCTCTCCTTATCAACGCTGCGGTAAGGCCGTGGTAATGGAGTTTTAAGACTCTGAGCACAGAGGGTCTAGCTGGGGGTCAGCCTGACTCAGTGCAGGAAGGTCAGAGAGGAACGAAAACACATTAAAGCAGCAGGGAGTATCCTCCTAAGCAATCAATTTCACTTCTCGGGGCCACCAATTTACTGGGGGGCCATGGTACTTGAGAGACGCAGCATTTGAAGATCTTGGCTTCCAGAAGGTTTCTTCTCAAGGACAAGCAGAGTCCCTTAGCCCCTGCCCAGGAGCCACCTCCTGGACATATGGGCAGCCTTGTGGTCAAAGTAGAGACTTCCACAGTGGTTCCTCAGCTAGTGCCCTGGGGCTCAGCTCTTTTGCTCTACCCAGTTGGAGGGACATAGGAATGACCTCCCTTGGTAAGGAATTTAAAAAATAATTAATATATAATTCAATATATAATCATTTATTTAATTTATTTATATAATTAATCATTAAAACATACCTTTGTAAAGAACAGAGGGTAGGCATTCTTAGCTAATTAGATATAATGCTTTGAGTCACTGAATCAATACTTGCTTAGCACCTTACTCTGTTAGGCATTGTGGTAGATCTTGAGGATACAGAGGTGAATTAGAAGTGATCCTTCAGTCAAGAATCTCACAATTTTGTTGTAGTATAAAGCAATTATTTCAACATCCTTTCTTTAGTCACATCCATAATATGTTGGCAGGCAGTCTCTAGTTTATAAGCTAGGTCTCCAGGCTCCCTCTCTCCCTTTGGGGGCTGTTGTGAAAAAAACTTGGGAGTTCTCAAATGACTTTGGGAAGTCTGGGTCCTGGGATGCCCTAGGCCTAGAAATAGAAGAAACATTGAAAAAGGAAAACAACTTAAAGCAAAAGCTCATCTGCCCTTTGGTAGTCCTATCCCTAGAACTCTGTCTTACATACTGAATTACACTCGCTGAAGTGCCATCGAGTAAAGATTTGTGGGAGTTAATGCACAGGGTTTCAAAATGGGAAATAACCTTTGGTATGATTTCTTGAGCCAAAAAGGTCCTTAGAGATGATCTACTTGCCCCCTCATTTTGCGGCAGAGGAAACCACAGCCTAGAAAGGCTCATTATGACAGATGGTTGGCATAGGTGGCACAGATCTCCTGGCATTTGGCCAGTGTGCTTGTCATGCTCCCATTCCTCCTAACATATGGCTGGGAAAGGAATAGGAGGAGCACCGAAAGGAGCTTGAAGCCCTTGGTAGCAAGGTAGAGGAGACTTTGTCTTTTTAAAGCCTTACCTAGAGCCAGCCTGTAAAAGGGGAAGGAAATGTGTTTCCTATGAAAGGGTGAGGTAGGGCAGAGACATCTCAACTCAGTCATTTGTCTCCCCCTACTCCATCTCCAAATACACAAATGCCAGTGCAAGCATTCAGCTATGAGTGTTAAATGGAACTTCTTCCCTTCCCCTGTTGTACTGCTCCTGTATCTAGACTCAGAATTCTGCAGTGTTTCAGTTCACTCATGTGATGGGTTTGACTAGGTGTGGAACAGTCATGGAGGTGCTAACTTCCATGGGAAAACAAATTCCAACTTTCAAAGAGATTTCTGAAGAAAGCTTTTGGAAAACGACCAGTTCATGGGCTTAGGATTCCCTGGAGCCCAGAAATCTTTCTGAACAATATTTTCTTATGGAGTGACCCACTGAGCAGCTTCATTTGTGGTACCATCCATAGGCTTTAGGGTCCAACTGAAAACCAGTTTATTTTTGCTTAGTTGACAAGAGTGGAAAAAATCACAGTGATAGATGAAATGTACCCTCAGGTATTGCAGTCTTAATGCTGTGCAACATATGAAAAAGGGCCAAGGGGTTTTCATTCAGTAGCCATTTCTTGAGCATCCACTGGGGCTACAACCTCAAGCAACTCACAATCTGAGTAGAAGTGGGGCAGAGGGACAACCAGTCAACGGTGTGGGAAGCTTCTCAGAGAAAACGATAGTTGAGCTAAGTTTTAAGAGATGAGGGGATTTAAGGAAAGGGCATTCTATGAAAAGAGGACCGTATATGATATATGGAGGCACAGAAAAGCATGATGCTTTTAGGGCACTACAAAAAGTAGTTGGTATGATTGGAGCCAAGGCTCCATGGGGGAAGGGCAGGAGGAGAGATCCTAGGCCTTGTGTGCTGAACCAGGGAGTCTGAACTTTATCCTGGAAACTATGGGATTTCATTAAAGGAATATTAAGCAGGAGAGTGGCATGACCAGATTTTCAATTTAGAAAGATCACCCTGACTAAAATATGGATGGTGAAATTTGAGGAAGCTGGAGTAGAAACAGGAAGACTAATTAAGAAAGCACCGTAATATTCCAGACAAGAGATGAGAGTGGCCCCAACTACACTAATAGCTGTGAGAATATAGAGGAGTGGATAATAGCAAATATGCAGAGAAGGCAGAACCTGCATAACTTAGACTTTGCAGAATGTACCATTTTAAAAAAGTGTATCTGTTAACTTGTACATGGGTAAAAGACATTATAGAAATACCATTTAAGGCCCAACATGATGGAAAATTTGAATACAGTTATTTGTTCTTTTAAAAGTATAAAAATGACTTAAATCCAGGATGCATTTAAATCCAGGACACATTTGATAATAGCAAATGTGCAAAGCAAAGGAGAGGCTCTCTGGGGGGCCCATAAGTCTTTGGAGTTTTGGAACCCTTACAGAGGATATAGAGTATGCTGACTAGTGATATAGCGTGATACCATGTTTACCATAAGCACTATGATCAATGATTACCAAATATACTAACATCAGGGGATTATGATATATAAATATATAAAATAGCAATTATAAGCAACTTTGAGAAACAAAAAATCTTTATTTTTTACAAAAGTTTTCATGAATGCATTTTATATTTGATATGCATGCTATTATAACAAAGCAACTAAAAATATAATTACAGTTAAGATACTTTTATGTATATTTAAAAAGTAATATTTTAATCTTCTCAATTTTTAAAAATTGAAAGTAGAATAAGCAATTCTTCAAAAATTATCCATTTCTCCCCCTTGCAATTGTTGCAGTGATTTAAGGAAAATTAAGATAATTAGTCAAATGAATGTTTGTCACCTCACAAAAACCTTTTCTGTTTGGAGCCAGGTTTAGAAATGTTTGTATTCTAGGTTTTTGTCTATTGCCTCTGCGTTATAACCATGCCAGTGTGCTAACTGAAGAGTTGCTCACTTAGGGCTTTGTCCTCACTTGAATGCTAATCCCATTCTTACTGTAGTTAATTAGAGATTCACAGAAAGGACTGTGCAGCCTACTGGAGGAAAAATTCAGACTACCAAGATCGTTGTTTTCTTTTCATCTCTATGTTTCCTTAAAATAAAAACAAGCAATAAAATATAGCAACTTAACTCAACATATAGTTATCAATTTTATGTATGATTATTCATTCTTTTTTTTCCTGAGATATTAAGCAAGTTTGTAAGTAGTCTGTTTTCATGCAAAAATATATTTTCCCATTCTTTACATTCATTTCATAGTATTTTGTATTCTAAATAACTATATCACATTTGTGCTTTATGCATTTGGAAAATAAAGAATAATTCATTTTCTTCACTGCATAAAAATAAAAGATTATTGGTTCTTTGATGGGTAATACAATCAAATTAAGTGCTGGCTGACTTCAAGTTGCTAAAACATTATCTGACTATAAAAATTGCAATAGAAAGTTCTATTTTTCTCATGCTTGCAGTTTTACCTAAATTTAGAATGAAAGGTTGGCTTGCTCATGTGAGAGAGACATGGTATGTTTATTCCTTGGACTTCTAAGTCTGTGAGTTCCTAATACGTGGCGCTAGGCCTACATGCCACACCTTGTCCGAGTTTCCTCTCTTACCAGGAGGGGAATCAGAATACAATATAGATGTTTTTTATGGCAAAGGAAAAAAAATTGGCGCATATTCTAGTTTATAATATTCACAACAAGATTAGTTTGTAAAATGTGAGAATTACTAACACATTTAAATGAGAAACAGATAAAAGGCCAAACACTTAAGAACATGTTTATGCTTAAGGAATTGATCTCTGTTACACCTCTAGACTTAAATCGTATTTGATGTCCACTATGAATGTGAACGTCTTAAGTACATAGCCTTTTTCTGTATTGGTTGAAGAGAAATACAGACTTTTTCCCCCTAAAATAAAGTTGGGAAATCTGAAGCAAGGAGAATTTTTCTGTTAACACATATTGTTTCATTTCTCCTTTATTAAAAAATTTAGTGGAATTAAACAGAAGAATAGATAAATATACATGCAATATATTTAGGGCCCACTGTTTACTTTTCTCAGCACATCTGCAATAACCTATTTTTTGACCCAAGTGTGATGATTTTCACACAGATAAGGAAGGCTAGTAGAAACATAAGATCTTTAAAGTGAGAAAAAGAAATCTTAAGTTGTCCATAATCAATCATATCTAACTACTATGAGGTATAAATAGATCAAAATAAGTTTTAAATTATTTGCTCATATTACATTGTCCAAAATCCTTTTGGAAACAAAGCCAACTATGAAATTTTAGTTGAATGGAAGGACAATGGGAAACAGCTTCATTTTCTTCGAGATATGAAGCTACTTGCCTTTAAAACAGTATGA